GTTTCCCCACTCTTTTTTGCATGTTGAGATGTGCCAGAAATTCAGTGTCTGTTTCTGAATGTACTGAGCTGGAGGAAAAGCAGGAGCAAGGAAGATAAGGCAGTAGTCTGACCCTCGGTACTATTTATTTCTAATAATATTCATCCCACGATCTGTGTTTCCATACGTTTCAAGTCTGCCCTCCGGGGGAGAGGGAGGGAGAGGAGAGAAGTTGCCAACACTATGTATTCTACCGTGGAATTTAGGTCTTCTACCAGAGCCAATGAAGCCTTGTTTCCTTGGCTTTCAAATTCCATTCATATTTGCTCTCCAGCACAACATGCAGGGACCTGGTAAGTGGGAACAAGCTCCTGCCTAACCTGAGCTTGCATCATTGATGCTACTTTCCTAAGTGATCAGTTGGCATGGGCAGAGGAGGGGTGGCAAGTTAATATAGTATGATTTCAATGGTTGGAAGCAAGGACAGTGTCTCTTTCCTATTGGCTGCTTTCTGATATACTCATGTTAAGCATTTTGTTGTTCTGTACCCCTGTTCTTCACATAATATGTAGAATTCCAACGAGTTGGAGCCTGCTGCTATTTGGGCAATCTGTTTTCTTCTTGCAGTTAGAGCAATGTTTCACTAGCTGTGTTAGGTGTCGGCTGATTTCCTGTGGATTTCTAAAGTATTCTGGGTATTCTGCAGGAAGTGACAGATGTCTGCCTTTACTCAGGGTGCCAATGATAGAGTTTCCATCCTTAAATTTCTATAGCATCTGGCAAATTTATCTCATGCAACACATTTAGGACCTGTGCAAAGCAGGGTAAAGGCACCTGTAACAGTCTGTGGCAGTCCCTGCAGTAGGCGTGTTGCAGCGTGTTGTCTCTCCATGCGGTTTAAAATGTGTCCACTTTAGCTTTGGAGCCAGACAAAAACAGTAGAGAGACACCAGACTTGACGATGACCCATACTAATGCTTTAACCACAAAACTATCCTTCCCCCCAATACAGCTACTGCTACAAGTCAATAACCTGTGAGTCCCTGGGAGCAGAAATAAATGGGTCACGCCCCCTCATCACAAAATAATCATGTGTGTCACTGCCCATTTATGACTTTTTCTCATGTTGCTGTTCCAAATGGCTTTTTAACACGAATATCCTGACTGTCCAACCGTTACTGATTTCTGTGAAAAAGCATGCAAATCTCTCTGCACAGATGTCCTGGATCAATGCAATAAACCTTCAGGTCAGTTTGTTTCTATATTCATGCTACAAAGCACCTCTGGTTCTCAGAGAGATTCATGTTACTTAAAGCCGTTTGTTGCAATGGTCTGTTCCTTTCTTCTTTTAAGTGAGATTTAGCTTTATACTGCTGCATTTGCTTTATCACATCAGGTGTCCTCCAAAGGAGATATTCACATGCAAAGTTCTTCTCAGTTTCTATTCCTTCTCTCCATCTCAGTGCGGAGAGGGTTCGCTAGTGACCTCTGCAGGCTTTGCACAGGACCTATTTGCTGTGTTAGTTGACCTGGGTAAGAAAGAAAAACCTAAACTGTTCAGGTGGTTTTTAGCCCAACCGTGAAAATACCTTCTGGAAATGTCCCAGCACAACAGGTTTCAAGGCAACAAAGTGGAAATGCCTCCTACCTAGGAGAGATTCCCTTGTATCAGTCTATAAATAGTGTGTGCAGTCCGTGACCCCGAATTATGCCCTGAGATGCCTCTGGTTTAGCATCAGTCAATTTGCCCGATTTTCAGAAATGCCAAGTTAGACATCACAGTACGATCCTGGGTGTGGTTTCAAAGATGCAGCCAAATGCTCAATATATCACAGGATCCACTTAGGTATGTTGGCCATCAGCTGAGTTAAACACAACTGATTTAAACCCTTTAATAGCCCTAGATGAAGTCAGCCGGTAGATGCCTATGTTAAAATGTTCTGCTTTCTATCCCATTCCACCCATTTTCTTTCTCAAACTTTTGGATACTGCTGTTATGTGCCAGAAACAGGTATGCAAGGCACACGTGTCAACTTTTATCTTTCAGCTTCGAGCATCACAGAGGAGTCTCTCTCCCAGGCATCTACTGCTGAAACACCTAAGGAGCTTAAGGGGGTCACTTGCAAACATTTAATTGTCATTTTAATGTGTCTAATTGTCTGAAAATTTTAGCCACTGAATACACACAAAGATTAATGAGTATGATCGCAGAAAACAGGCCATGAAATTGGGGTGGATTTCAGGGTCAGTGGGTTTAAAGAAAAAATGCTTAGCAAAGTAGCTCTTAAAACTGCAACTATGGAATGGAAGAACTAAAATAATCCTTGTTTTGGAACAGCAGAGAGACTTGCCAAACAGCTTCTTCTTAGCGTCTTTCTTCCCATTTCTGGAGCATATCCGATTTTCAAATTGAGAAGTGAATGATGCATGCAATACTCTGAGAAACAGGCATTTGTATAAGACACGGAGAAACAGCAGATTCACGGGTTTACATACTGTGATAAATAAACCTTGACTGTGGCACTCAAAAAATGTGCTTATTGGAAATCCTCTCTCGTATGTGTGTTTAATCTCTGCCCAGTTTCATGGGGCTCCAGAGAGATCGTAGAGCATATTTATTTTCTTTAAGTAGATATTTACCACATTGAGCAAGCATGCTCAAATAAATTGGTTAGTCTCTAAGGTGCCACAAGTCCTCCTTTTCTTTTTGCGAATACAGACTAACACGGCTGTTCCTCTGAAACCTTTCAGACATCGTCCTTCCTTACCTGACCCAAAAAATCACGTAAATAGTGAATTTAAGTAACTAATGTTTATATATAATTAAATGGATCTAATATCTTTCTGCTGAATGACTCAATTGTAAGAATAATGAAAGATTAGACTCTGAGCTCTCTGGGGTTGGTTGGTTGGAGGGTGCCTAGCACAAGGGGGCTCTGATCCCTCTCCAGAGTCCATACATAACGGCAAGAGAAGCAATAACAACATCATGATGGTCTGATGGTCAGCAGACAGGCATAGGCAAGAGGAACATCTGAGTTCTACTCCCAGCTCTGAAGCTGGCTTCCACTACCCCCTCGGGCAAGTCATTTTACCTTTCCATGCATCAGTTTCCCCATAGAGATATTAGTACTGATCTCTATCCGAACGGTGGCATTGGGGTTAGCTGGTACAGACCTTTGAAGACAACAAGCTTCGTCGCAGTGCTGAGTGTTATTATGCACATACTGTACTGCAGCTCTTTTGGATTTCACATTCCCCATTTGGATTTGTTATTTGTAGTAGATAGGGCCATCCTCATTACAGAGCTAGGCTTTCAGTTTGTCTTATGCCTACTATCTGTGTCCCTCACGAAAGACCATTCATCAGCAGCATGAAACCCGCACCCAGTTAGGGGCTTAGAGGAGAGTAAGAACAGAGCAATTTGCAGGTAGCATTCCTTCTCCTAGCTGATCATGATTTGGGAGGCCAGGCTCTCAGCAGCTAGGACAAAACTTCTCAAGAAGACAAGATTAAGCAAAAAACTTTCTGTGGGGTCCCTGCTTTACTGCAAAGGTTTCTTGTGAAGTCAAAAGAACACACACCCACCCACCATCTCAGGTAATTTTTCTTTTATATGGCTTGAATACTTATCACTCACCTGCCCCCAAAATTCAGCCCAATGATTAAACCTGTCTGATACTGCCTGTCCTTTTTGTCTTGCTTGCTAACAGCCAAGGTCTTTTAAAGGTTCTGAGCCTAATGCATCTCAGCTGCGCATGATTCCAGCCCAGCTGGGAATGCCTGCCTGAGCTGAATCTAACGACTCTGCCAGGGAATTTTAACTCAGGAAACCCACCCGGCTGTCTGACTTAGAGTGTAAACTCTTTGGGGCAATTATTGTACAGCGCCTAGCCCGCTGGGGCTGTGATCCATGACTGGGATTCCTAGGTACTACCACAATACAAATAATAATCAATAATATAATCCTAATTAATAAAAGTCACAACCCCCACAGACACCCTCAGAAAACAGGGCTTTTTCTTTTGAGGGGGTGCTGCTAATTCCCTCTGATCAAATCTCTCGTGCCAATGCTACATGTTCCCCAGTAAAATCTACTTCACTTCTACTAATAGTGATGATTTATTAATAATAATAATTTGCACATCTCCAGTGCCTTTTATTCAAGCTGCTTTTCAAACAAAGGGCTTGATCCTATGAAATACCAGACACTAACAGCTCTCATTGAAACCATAATGGCACTTAGCCCCCACACAGAAGCCTTACCATATCACTAGAGAGCAGATACACATCAGTTCCATTTTAGGAGACTGAGGACAGATATAGAGATGTTACTAGAGCTTGGACCAGAACCCAGGAATCCTGGCCCCTACTACTATCAGTCTATTCGGTAACACCCCACAAAGCCAGTCATGGGCTGTTTTTTCCTACTGCCTGTCTTCACCTGTTTCACCTCAGGTCATTGTATGTTTTGTACCATTTCCCACCCAAGAGACAGGATCATAAAGCTACATACCACCTGCTTCCTGAATTATACCCCAGCCACTGGTTCATTCTTGACTTAAAAGGAGACTAACAAACTCCTCACTCCCAAGCAAATCACCCCCTTCTTGGAGGCAGTAGGGTTTAGGGTGAAACTTTTTGAAAGTTGTAGCATTGCCATTCTGAGCTTTCAAACATCATGACTTTTTTGAAAAATAATAAATTGTGAGTTCTTTTTCCTTGCCTGCTGTTTTCTGGGTCTTTAGGCCACACTCTGGTCATGTTTCCAAGCTCTTCTCCATAACCACAAAGGGCTACAAACTTACTTTTTTTAAAAATGAAAACTGAGATTCTGACCTGAATCCAGGAGCTGGAGCTTTAAGGAAAACACCAACTCCCAAGACTCATGATAAAAACATGAAAGTTGGCAACACTGGAATTGTCACCTTTCCCCCAACTCCTCCCCTGTACAATCTGACATGGTTGTTCCCTTTATCCCCAGGATTTCAAGCCTGATTCTTCTTTCTCTGGTTGTTTAGGGTTCTAGTGATGATGAGCAGCACATCAGCAAATCCACCTCGCTGATCGAAAGCCAACATCACCACCTGCTGCACTGCCTGGAAAAAACAACTGTAAGTAGCAACAGGACCCTTTCTAAATCTGATTAAATCCTTTGCTCCTGGGTCCAGGCTTCCTTTGGAAAGGACATGGGTGCAGTATGCTCCTCTAAACCAACACATGCACTCACAAACACTCATCCCCGTTGGCGATAAAAATATGTGTCAGTGAAGTGATGGGTCCTGAATTTCAGAAGTTCCCTGGAATATGTCACATGGGGAGAGATTCACTTTCTTTTTGTGAATTGCTTCACAAATAAGCATTGTGCAAAATGCTAACAGTGTACATCTGTGTAAAAGGAAAAAGGGATGGATTGTCCTGTGCAGGCATTTACACCAGGGCACAGTCAGTGCAAATCACTATCCTTCTGATCGGGTAGCATTTCTCCGCCTCCTGGCACTCACTTTGCAACTGGTGCAAATGACAGTACAGACTGCAGGGCAAACAGCCACTGCAGAGCAGAGGAACAGCCTGCAATGACCGAAGAGACAGATTTGCGGGAGTAGGCTTTAACCATGGTTTCTGAACTAGGGCTAAACTCAGTTTGTCCTTGGCTACACTTGCAGTTAAAGTGCATATATCATGGGGGGGAGGGATAGCTCAGTGGTTTGAGCATTGGCCTGCTAAACCCAGGGTTGTGAGCTCAATCCTTGAGGGGACCATTTAGGGATCTGGGGCAAAAATTGGGGTTGGTCCTCCTTTGAACAGGGGGTTGGACTAGATGACCTCCTGAGGTCCCTTCCAACCCTGACATTCTATGGTTCCTCTAAACCCATTGCTTCCACCCACTACCAATGATGTATGCAACTGCTGGCATGAAGTGGGCTACAGTGGGAAGCTGATGCCAGCAAACTCCAAGCCACACATATTCCCTACCACAAATAGGCCAGAGAAAACAACAACTGAGCCATTTAAAGGGAGCAGACAAGCCTTTTTGATGTGATTTAGTGACACTGTGCATGTCTTTCCTGACAAGCCTCATTTAAAGGAGCATGTAGTTCATCTGGAGGCCAGTCAAGTGGGTTCTCCTGTCATGACGTTTCACACATGCAATGCATGGTGCTGGAGTAAGACCCTAGGAAGCGCTATTTTTTAATTTTTAAATAGTTCTGTAAGCAGAAGTTCCTGGAAAAATTGCAAACAGATCTTTATCTCATGTACATTTCATTTCCAGCTTTATATTCACTGGTGATTTGTGGTAAAGGGACATAGTGCCTATATTGTATATCATGGCCCATTCTGGAAAGACACCAGTGGGTTAAGACCTGTTAAGATGTATCCCTTTCCTTATCTGCATCCACCATCAGATATGACTTTGATTTCTGACCTGCATACATAGTCTCAATTTCAGTTTGGTTCCTAGCAGGATAACACCATATAGGTTTCAAAGATGCACTGGAAGAAGACCACTGGTTAAATACTTATAGCAACTAAATCCTACAGGTCCTGAAACTCATCATGATGAATTATGAGGCTAATCATTCCAGTGCTGACGCACTATATCAGTGACTGTTGGTTTCATTTTATAGTATAAATCGGAGCTTGCCTGTGTTTCTGATAACTCTGTATGTTACATTACAAGCAGATATTTCACAACCTGACTCTTCAATTGTTTAGAATTCTGTACTTACCCTTAAGCTTTAAATAGTATATTTCAAATATGGCTCATATCATGTGATTGTTATTACTATTTGCAAAGTGCCATAAATTTGCCTGGTATTTTACAGAAAATAAAAAGATAAGATCTCTGTCCCAAAGCGTCCACCATCTATTGTCCGGATCCTGCTTAACTTTAACACATGCTTAACTTTACACACTGTGACAAGTTCTACTGACTGTCAGTGAATAAAGTTAAGCACATCTGTAAATCGTTGCAGGGCTCAGGCCTACATTAGACAAACTTCAGGCCAGATGATGACAGCCTTGCTCCGGAGTTGTACTTTTTTCCACAAGTACTCCCACTGATTTCAGTGAGACTGCTTGTCATATAAGTTGCTATTCAGTATGAGTAAGGCGATACCGTCTGGCTCAAAATGAATTATAACAACAGACAATTGGATCAAAGGGACAGCAGCAGAGAGAGGAGAATGCAGGGCAGAAGATTTTCCTTGTATTTTCTTTTGTATTGGCCCCAATTTATTTTGGCCGAGGTGCCAGTGCAGGGTTAGGAACAGGAATATAGAAGCATTACTGCATTGAGTAGAACCAAAGAGAGCCACAAAAACTAGTGAGGTGAACTGTCCTGCCGTTGCAGTCAGATATTTGCATCAGCTGTTGAAAATTTTCTGAATTTTGATTTTTGGACCAAAAATGTCATTGCCATTTTGAATTTGGATGAACACTGCTGAAAAAAAAATCCACAAAATATTTGCTGCATTTTCCCCACATTTTCCAGCCTGTCCCAACCAGGATGAGATTGTCAGCCAGGTTGTCACATATTTGCGTATCACAGTTAGAGCTGATCAAATCATGAAAATAATTATTTGAAAATAATGTACTTGATGAATAACAGTGTAACCCACACACCTCCTGGGTGTGGTGTTCTGTCCCTTCTAGTAGCACTGAGATGAGAGAAATAGATGTAGATGATTGAGTCTGCTCTACAGCCTTAGCTAGCAGCCAGTTGGTTTGAGGCTCATGCACTAAGTTTCGGAGGCCCCAGGTTCGATCCTGCCTGCTGACAACTGGGGTCTGTTGGCATTACAACAGCAAAGAAAATAATTTTGTGTCTTCAAAAAATGCATAGAACTGTTTGATTAATGAAAACAGTTAATTTTGAATACATTATTTGTTGGGTAATGGGGAAACAGAAGATAACTAACAACTTGAATAAGTTACAAAAAAGGGTCAAGCTGGATTCCTCATTTTCCACTTTTTAAATCAAGATAAGTTTTTTTTAAAAGATCTGCTCTACTTCAAAAGGAATTATTCTGGGGAAGTTCTATGGCCTGTATTATGCAGGAGGCCAGACTAAATTATCACAATCGTCCCGTCCCATCTGGCCGTGGAAATCTCTGAATCTCTGAACTGTTGAACAAACTCTTCACAGTAGTCATATGATCAGCTCTAATCATGATGCAAACACCACCAGGATTTTGTTTAAGGTGGGTTTATTCTGATTGTGGTTTTTTGGCTCTCTGCAACTCTGCTCAGCATTAAGTGGCTGTTCAGTTCTTGAACTTTGAGTGCTGCTGACCTGGAGTATCTACGTTTTCAAAAAAGAGATTGTCATTCAAGGAGTCAGATGCAGCATGTTTAGATTGTGGTTCTCAATGCATTAGTCAAAACAGCTCAATCAATTTTTGTGTTGAAATTCCTGTACTTCCTTGGCATTCTTAATCTATTAAGATATTATGCAAAAATGTCAAATCACAGCATATGAATTCTTAAACACTGAAGAGTCATTTTGCAATGTTTCAAAGTTGCAGGTGGAATGGAATGAGGAATGATCCATGTGCCATGGTTACCAACACGTTTCAAAGGGCAATTCACCTTTCCTGAAACTAGACAGAGGGATTTTAAAAGTACATTCTTTATTTTTACAGTATCTGCAGTTGTCACTAGAATAAAGTCTTACAATTTAACAGCTGTGAATGGCCCACAAATCTGATGTGTTAAAAGACAAAGTGGCCTTGAGGTGCTTCCAACAATCATAACAAAAAATTGTTTGCTATGTTAACACAAGATTTTTCAGCTCTGTTCCCCACCCCAGATGTGAACACTGACATTCATATCCTACCCTTTCTCTGGCTGCTGCCTGGTTTGAGCCACATCCTTCAGCCAAAACCTTCCTTCTATATTTCCACAAAGGCCAATCAAAACACAGTCCCATTGCTTGTGTAACCCCTGATCCAGTCACACTGCAATCCCAATTGGGCAAGATCTGATTGAGTGGCTGAGAATTTGTTTTATCCTCTGCTTCTGGCTCTCAATAAATAAATAAAATAAAAAATGAACAAACAGCTGTAAATTGCCTTGCCCTTCCACTCTCTTTTAGAAAGAGAACACAAACAATTAAAATGCAAGGTTCCAGAACACTATGTTGAAAGAAAGATAAAGAAAAAGACTAATCTGATTTAGCAAATGAGTTTAGTAAAGGAAAGGCTCAATTGCCCATTCAAACTTGGGGTGCCAGATGGAATGCTGAGATTGAATGGATGGAATGCTGGGACTAAACTCTGGAATGCGGGAATGGACAATCAATCGTGTTTTTATCTTTTGTTGGCATGTTGTCCTGTAGGGATTGTCCTATCTTGTGGATGATCCCCTGTTATCTGTACGAACTTCCACCATCAAGGTATTTCCTTTTTAATTCAATCTGTTTTCTACGATCTCTGTAACACGTCCAGAGTGTTTGTTTCCTTTCTTGTTATTGGTCCTGTTCTTGAGAGTTTGTGCATGTGGTTCATTTTTTGCTGATACCTTTGTTCGCTGTAAGACCTAGTATCTGTTGCAATTAAAATTGATGACTGCCTTATCTCCAGTTCCCCCTTCCTTCTTTTCCAGTTCTGTTCGGTAAAAAGCAAAATTTGTATGTTAGGCATCTATGAATATTTATGTATGCGCCTAGATGTGTATATACTTTGGCTCTTGCCTACACTGTCCTCTACTCATTGGTGCAAGAGGCACTGAAGTTTTCCATGCAACTCTGCAGTTCTAGGCTACCCAACTTTGAAGTTCTAGGCTGCCCTTTATCATCATTTTCCTCCCCCTTACTCTTCCCACTGGCAGCTTCCACCTTGACACCTTTATTTCTGCCACATATAACTCAGCTGCCAGCCCAGCTTTGAATGGAACTGTAGGTGTGACATACCTTCAGGGATCAGCTTAACCAGCACACCATACCTAAACTTTCCAACTTGATGACCAATTGGTCCTGCTGACACAAACAGTACACATCACAGCCTTAGCCCCAAACACAAAGAAGACAGTGAGCCTGACTCTCCTTTCCACACAGGTTTATAACAGTGAGGCACCACAGATTTCACTAAAGTCACTTCAGGGATACAGGTGTGTCAGTGAAAGGAAAAATGAGGCCCAAACTATTTACGGATATGGAATGCGTAAGCCAGCTGGTCCCGACAGGCTGTTATGCCTCTGCCACAGCTTCTCTTATTCCCATGTTGTTGTGGGGGAGCAAATACGTTCTCTTGGTTGCCATGAGTAATGGGATGAAGTCATCTCCTTCCCGGTTGTTGTTTGCATTTTTAAATCTGGGAACTGTCTAGTGCAAGCTGTTTCAGGCACAGGGGCAGAGAGCTGAGGGGCTGACCTTTCCCACAAGAATAGCAAAAGGTGTTCTTGAAAATGAACCACCTTAGGGTAGCTACTGGCGAGAGTGACACTGTTGTTCTTTTCCCTGCCAGAACCATGAGTTCATAGATGAGCAGCTGTTTGAGCAGAACTGCATGGATAACTCAATGCAGAATTACCCCTCCACTCGCAGCCCCTCATTGTCAAGTAACAATGGCGGGTCCACCTCCTGTTGTTCTCGACGCAACAAGAAGACGACTCATCTTCCGAACTCCAACGTGCCAGCCACTCGCCTGCGGAGCATGCAAGAGCTAAGCACGATACACATCCAGTGCAGTGAACAGCCATCACTTACAACAAGGTACAGTGAGCTGACTGCTGACTGCTGCATGCAAACCTGCTAAGGGTGATGTCCATCTGAGATGAGTTTGGGGCAGTTTCTACTCACTCGGCCCAGGAGAAGTGGGTCCCACCTGGGATGATCTAAGTTCCAGTTCTACTAACATGCTCCCAGGAGAGGTGGCTCCTGGCTGCTATGTGCAACTCCGATGGACTTGTCCCAGAGGAAGCTGACCCAAGCTCTAGCTCAGTTCTTCTCCAGCCAGTTTGGACCCAAGAGAGGTGACTTCCAGCTGAGGCTCCCCTTGGTTCAGCCTCAGCTGTAACCAGATTGCTACAGCTCATGCAGGACCATTCCTGCAGGCCAGCAGGAGGCAATACCCAGCTCAGCACAGCTCTTCTTTGGCTGACCAGAGGGAGGCAGCTCTCAGTTTCTGCCAACCTGACCACAGCTGTGTGCTTGGTCATGAGCAATGCCAGACAGCATCGGTGCCAGGCAATCTGTATGTGCTGCATAAAGTACAGAATGGGTTGAGTTGTGCGAGTCTAATGTGTGATTAGTAACATCAGTGAAGCAAGATCTCTCTTTCAATAGAGGATTTTCAAATGGACTCTCCTTTCAAACATAATTTAGTGCATAATCGAGGCATCACCATCATAGTAGTTGAATGAACTTCTGAAGTCCTCGCCCTGTGCCCAGCCAAACTTCTTGTGCATTAGGTTTCAGAGTAACAACCGTGTTAGTCTGTATTCGCAAAAAGAAAAGGAGTACTTGTGGCACCTTAGAGACTAACCAATTTATTTGAGCATAAGCTTTCGTGAGCTACAGCTCACTTCATCGGATGCATACTGTGGAAAGTACAGAAGATCTTTTTATAACACCCATTTTTTCATGCTTTGTGTGTATAAAAAGATCTTCCGTACTTTCCACAGTATGCATCCGATGAAGTGAGCTGTAGCTCAGGAAAGCTTATGCTCAAATAAATTGGTTAGTCTCTAAGGTACCACAAGTACTCCTTTTCTTCTTGTGCATTAGGGAGCTTTGGAAAAGGGGAGGAGGCAAAGACTTGCATTTGAAACAGTAACTCCAGCCTTCCCCCTGATTCCAAAATGTATAAAATCCATTTTACCCACAGTAGAAATGCAGCTACCTCTGGGGCAAGGAGGATGCAGCTATTCTGCACCAGTAACATGATTCAGCAAGGTGTTTAAGTGAAGTATAATGTATGAGAATGGGAATGAGAAAGGGAATAGTGAGGGAGTTCATTCCCCATGGCCCTTTCAGGCATTAGCTCAGTATTTCCCAAAGGGTGGGGGTATCCCCTTGGGGGACAGAAAGGATTAGACTGGAGGAACGGACAGGCCTCTCCGTTGTTTCCTACAATCTTCCATTAAAAAAAAAAAAGTACATATCCAGCTATTATGGTTTTAAAGAAAACCTTGAAAAGGTTATCCAAGTGTAATCAACATCTGCCTGAGTCTGCAGCAAGCCTGAAACAAAAGCTCTGAAGCATATGAACTGCTCTGTTCATTTCAGTGGGTGCTCAAACCAATTCCAGTTATGACATTTTAAATGTCAAAACTGTTACAGATGAGCAGTGACAGAGCTATTACGAAGATCTGCACCCTCTACTGGGAGCAGCCGCTCATGGCGGGTTGGGCTTTAAGAACACATGGAGAGGCTGCAGTGAGAAGGAGGGACTGGGGATTCTTTTAATTTTCCTGATGCAGGGCTCAGTTTTCTAAGGTTTTGGAAACTCTGCCTTAGCCTCTTCAGCTGCAACTGTGGCTACGCAAGAGAGCTAACAGCGGCAGAGCTGCACCGACGCAGTGGCACCCCTGGAAGCTCTCTAGCGTAGCTGCTCTAAGCCGACGGGAGAGAGCTCTCCCGCCAACTTAATTAACCCAGCCACAACGAGCGGCAGCAGCTCTGTGGGCGGGAGCAGCTCTGTGGGCGGGAGAGCACTGTCCGCACCAGCAGTTAGGTCGGTGTAACTGACGTTGCTCAGGAGTGGCCTGTTCACACCTGTGAGCGACCTAAGTTACACCGACGCAAGTGGCAGGGTAGACAGTGTGGGTGGGGTTAGTGGGTTACCGACACTGGATGGCTTTAACCCCACCCTTCTTTTTTCCTATAACTGCAGAGGTGTTATAACAGGCCACTCTACCTTGAGTGTTCCCTTACAATATGTGCTAACTACTTATGCTAAACAAGCTGTTCCACCTTGTATTTAGCTGTGGGGCCGGGAGTACGTTTCCCAGGCCTGACGCAGAGCTCAGTGTGGCTCGAAAGCTCGTCTCTCTTGCCACCAGAAGTTGGCCCATTAAGACACATTACCTGACCCACCTTGTCACACAGAAGTACCCAGACACTTGAGACATTAGGACAGAGTCTGTTAGTGAGTCAACCTGTAATAACAACAGCGGTGACTTTCCAACAGGGAACCCTTTATATTTTGAAAGGACAAGCCCTGTGTTTAAAGCAAGCCTGTTCGGCTGGTAACTGAGGACTCCTGCAGCTATGCAGATGCACAGAAAACAGACCTATCATTTTCCCGTGGTAATTAATTATAGGATGCAACTGATGCGGATCTAATAGGAATGCTCCCAGCTGCCAGATTCTCAAGACTACTGCAGGGGAAACAAGTAGAAAAAAGATAAAGGGATGGAGGCTTTGAAAGGAGAAATAAAACTGCACTGAAGTTTAAGCCTGCGGTCAGGGAGCCCTTATGGGCTCATAAGACTTTGGACCTGATTACTGACTCTTGTATTATTAAAAAATAAATAAATAAATAAAAATCCCTTTTGTTTTCTAGTCGTTCCAGTCTCAATATGAAATCAGATGACGGGCTGAGACCGAACTGCAAAACCTCCCACCTCACGACAGCCATCATCAGTATTCCTACCCCACCGGCACTGACGCCAGAAGGAGAGAGCAGGCCCTCACCGAGCAGCCCTCAACCCACTACGAACATTTCCACCACAAGCAGCAACATAGTCAAGGTCTCTGCCTTGTAAGGTGTCGTTTGAAGGAAGCAGCTGGAATGCCGGCGTCCCGCCCCCTCCACACCTTCATGTTCCTTTCTTGCTGCAAATTGTGCCTGGATGGACCAACCTGACATTTCGTCATAGAATTAGCAATGGAGACCTAACGAGGCAGCTTTCTTCAAACTCGCATTCATGCCATGGACTGAGAGAACAGATGAGGAGAGGGAGGAAGAGGTGGGTTGAAGAAAGGGTCTGTGTGTGCACGCGCCTGCAGAGAGCCTTGATTCAGGATATGACGCAGAAAATTGTTTCCAGAGGCTAGAGAAAAAGAACCGGCATGGCAACGAGAAAGTCAATAAAGAAACAAATATAACACTGTGTATCTCGGCACCTTTTTAAAGGTTTTTAATGGATAATATTTATTCATGCGGAAATGACTGAAAAAGGTGAAAAAAATGGATTTTGTGATTTTTTTTTCCTTCATGGAGCAGAATCTTTAATCAACCAAAATTACACATCTTTTTTTTTCTTTTATAGAGAAAGATTTAGACAAAGAAGACAGCTGTCCCAGAAATCTATTTCCGTTCCTCTGTGTGGTGTGGTGTGTGTGTGTGTGTGTGAGAAAAAGAACCACATCGAAATGACACACAAAGGTCTGAGCACATTTTCCTGATTTGGTGCACAGTATCAAACTGATTGCACAAGCACAGTGGCACACGTGCATGCACACACCCCCCTACACAAATAAATCTTTCACCCTGGAAGGCATTCTTTATTGAGATGATTTTGTAACCGCCTTTTAAGTCAATACAGTGCAACTGCAAACAGTGTGTTTGTCTGCTAATTATTGTCTGTGAAAACATATTTGTGGAAAAAAAAAAAAGACAGGCTTTTGTAAAGTGTTAGTCCCACATGGATTTCTGCTTTCTATTTTTGTTATCACTTACTTGTGACGAGTGTGACTAGACTACCAGTTCTGTATTTTTAAAAGGAAAAACATTAAAAATGTAGGAAAACTTCTTAAAATCCTGTGCACACGAATGGCAAAGAGTGTGGAAGCTCCCAACCCAACTGCACCAGATCATCAGAAATAGGATAGACTGTACCGGTCATCTATGCTAATGCTTTTTTATTTTTATATATGCTAATATTGGACATGCAACCCATTGTAAATCACAGCCAAGTAGCGTCTGGATCTATACCAGATCCAAGTAAACGCGGAGCCAACCATTCAGCATGGACTGAGAAGGTATTTGGCTTTTTAACGCACTCCTGGGGCTCCTACTGGCCGACTGATGGTGTCTGGGTTGCACTGATGTGGTAGGTAAACCAGTTTAGCAACTTTAGTCCTCCCCTCCCAGCACAGGAGCTACAGTGTGTATGCAGTTGAGCAGGGGAAGGGATACAGGGGTTTTGAATACCCGGGATATGGTGTGGAACAGACACCACTTTACTTTGCAGCTCTATTCTTCATCTGGGAAAAGTCACACACTTCTAGTCAACCAAAAACTGTAACTCTGTGTGGTACTTGCCAAGCTTAATACTTCTGACTAGTTCTATGGTGAATACTGACTGTTCTCCCTAAGATCTTTCTAGTAACAATATGGTCTTGAAATACAAGGACCTGACAGTTTCATTTATATATGACCTTTCTCCATTTGGAAAAATAAGTGGGAAATAATTGCTTATTCTCCTGCTACACATTCCTCAGACCACCTTTTTGTTATGGGTGCAATTCTTTCGCCACAGCACATACTGATCCAACATAGTACATGCCATCCACAGACACGTACAGTATAATGTAGTATTAATTATCACATCCAAATGCCTCAATCAGGCTCAGAGCCATGTTGTGAGGTGCTGAACATACATAGACACATAGAACATACAGACATAGACACAAACCCTGCCCCAAAATTGCTTACAGTCCAATAGATAGCAAGGAGCCATTTCATGCTTCCCTTCTCTCAACAGTAAATAGTAACTTCACTAACACAGCACTATCTGCCACACCACTCAAAGCATACCCCTGGGTGATCCAACAAAAGGATGGGGGGTTTTGCCTCTCAAAATGCACACTGATGTTATAGGACTTAAAATTATGCACTATCAACCCACCTTGTCAACATTCCTAACTTATTACTGGGTATCATGTGGACTCAGATAGCTGTTGTGATAACCCAGTAACCTACTGAGAAACTTATCCCATTCTAGGAATGATAAAGCTAGAGCTAAACATTCAGTAATGTCATAAACTGATGCCCGTTTGCTCCAGGGCTGGATAGCTCCCTGTATCACATTCTCCAGCACTATGTCCAGTCTGTTTTAAATCACTCAGGTGCTGTGGTTCCTTTGCTACTTTCCTCAGGCGGTTATTCTGTAGTTTACCATTAGCAATTTTTCTTGGCGCTTAACTTAATTGTCCCTTTGCTTCATTTAGTCCCCTTACGTCTGATCATACCCCTGCCCTATTGAACATCTTCAGGCCTAAACAAAGCCTGATTCTCCATTGCCTTGCACCTTATGCCCTCATTTACATCTGTGCAAAGTAAGGCTAAAATGCTACCATGCTGGCTGGGAATGTATTACTCCCACTGTGCACTCAGTTTGCATGGGTTTAAATGAACCAGCTACAGGGTGACAAAGAGCCAGGTCCTCGCCTTGTAGTCTCAGCTCTGCCCTTCTCTTCCGTTGGAGTCTTAAACAAGTCACTTCATTTCTCTGTGCCTCAGTTTCCCCATCTATTAAATGGAGAGAATGACACCCACCCATGGAAAGCACTTTGTGTACATTGTATTATTATTAATCAAAGTATTTCCTGAACATTCACAATTTGTCAGGGACATAAAGAAAAACAAGAAAAACAGTGCTTGGGGTTCCTCTCTCTAGCTGTTTGGGCTCAGGCTGCCAGGGTAGCCCAGCCCTTTGCTATGTTCTGCATAGGCAAAATTATTTTTCTGCTTAATCAAAAGCATGCAGCATAACATTTCTATCATTACTTTAGCAAGTGCTGCCACACACAATCACTGGCTTGGCAAAGATCCTTGTGAATAGAAAGGGGGGTGAGGAGAATCACAAAGGGTTGATTTCAATAGTTTAAGACAAAAATAACATTTATAATGGAGGCATTAGCCCATTTCAATGCTCATCTGAACAGGATTGGGGCAAATCTGCCCACCTGTAAATAACTGTGTACAGAACTCCCTGGGTTACACAGTGCAACAATAGCCTTGTAGTGAAAGCACTTTGCAGTCACTGAAATAGCACAGACCAGAATGAATCCACATGATATGTATTATATCGTACTGTACATATAAGCATAATTCAAATGTTTTACTGATAAACACAGAGCTGCAGAAAGAGCTCTGTGTTTCTGCAGGAGGAAGGGAGACCATTTGTTTTGATAAGCACAGGAATTGCTTGGCAGTCATGCACTCCCAGGGTAATGAGAGGGAACTGACTTGATTAGCTTATGTGAACATACAAAACATTACTGGAGATAGGGCCAAACCAAACCCCAGGTTTTGAGCACTCTCAGACATAGGTTAGTTTAGATCTGGCCTGGGATCCAAACTCTAGAGCTTGGGCTCTTCTCGCCCTTACTCACCTTGTTCTGTCCTCTAACCATTCCCCACCTTCATGCATAGAGATGTTATAGCTACATAAACCGGCAATTGCCTGCACCAACACCCCATTTACCTGAGGCACATGGAATGCAGTTTCTTCAGGGGTGGTTCTGCATGACAATACATACAGTAGGAGAGGGAATGTAGAACTGTACCGATTATGTTCCTGAAGGGCAGCTGGAACAGAGCAATCCGACGAGTAAATCCAATCAAAAAAATGCCAAACTGTTTTTCCCTTATTTTTTTTCCCACTTTTTTCCAGAATTTCTTGTGAATTTTTTTGTTTTCTCCTTAAAAAAAAAAAAAAAATTGATCATTTATATAGGGAAAAAATCATGTTTTCATATTTTTTTTAATCAGCAAATGTCAAAGGAAACAATTTTCTTTGAAAATTTTTGTTTCCTTTGAAATGCCATTTTGAAGAAAAAAGTCTCAAATTTTCACCCAACTTTACTGATGAGTCTATTTTCTTCTCAGCTGGCACTGGGTTGCTGCTTATAGCAGAACTGCACACGCTCTAGGAGCAAACACACCCATTGCAAATGACTGGTACATTCCCCTGCCCCAAACTTTGAAATCAAGCTACTCGCTTTGAAACCCTTCTCGCCTATCTTTGTTTTCTAAGAACTTCCAAGTCACTCAAAGAAACTACCACAAAACTTAAACCACTGTACAGAAATTAAAGATGGAAGAGACCATTTAGTCCAGCCCTTGCCAACACACAATTCTTCCCTGTAAAATATTTCCCAGTGCTTTTTCTAGACTAGATATAAATCTCCCCAGGGACAGGGCTCCCACTGCTTCACTTAAGAAATTATTTCAGCCTAATAGATCTCAATGTCAGCGAGTTTTCGCCTGGTACAAAGCCATAATTTTCCCTCCCTTATTTTTCATTCCATTACTCTTGATTATTTCCCCTTGCACTTGCTAAATAATCCCTCCCCCCTCCTTGAGTGTTAGCTGTGCACAAACAACCGAAGAATATAAAGTCTTGTCTTTGGCCAGCAAATTCTAATGCAGGAGGCTGCTTTTGGGTGCCAAAGGATTCATATTTTAAAGGTAAATGGGGGGGGGGGGGGGAGGAAATCATAAAATAAATAAGCTTGCAATTCTAAATTCTTAATAGAAGCAGCTTACCCACTGAAAAACTGAATTGCTATTTTCAACACTGGGAAATCACTTTATTTTTTATGGTGTTCAGAGTTGCCAAAGCCTAATTTTAAAGTTGCAGGTTTTCCCTGAAATAGCTGATGCCTCCGTAGCATTAGGAGCCAGCTCTCACGGCTCTGATTTAGGTAACTGGAGGGGAGGGGGGAAGAGGAGTTCTACCAAGAGCCCAGATTTTGTCAGTTCAGTAGAGGAGGAGGTGCTTTTTCAAGTATTTTAGAAGTAAATCCATTTGTAATCATGTTGTCTGTTACACATGTTCTAATGCAGATTGGGGATCTTAAAAATCATCTTTAACTGATGGTTTGCAGTGTTCCCTGAAAGAAAGAGATTAAGACAGGGGCAATGTTGGATTACGGTGGAGTTACAAGTCAGCATGCAGCGGCTCAAGAGCAACAGCGGTTTTGAATAAAAAGCCTTATTTGCTAGGTTTAAAGCTTGATTGAATAATAATATTTGCAACTATTTTTTTTCTACATCGATTGTATTTGTGGAAAATTAGTAATTATTCTTCCACACTGGAAAGCTCTGTAGCTGATTAAATATTTTAAATTATTTTGCAAATTTGTGATTGTTTTCTGAGACATTTTGGTCAACTGCACTGAATGGTGTGACTTCATAACTGAGGTTACAGGCCTAACAATTAATGATGCCATAAATGGTTTAACTTCCTTTCTCGTTAGGATTTCCTTCTAGATCCTTAAGATTAATAATGAGATGCAATGTGGTTTAATGATTAAAATTGGGATTTAGGATCAGGATACCTATATTCTATTCCTGACTCTCTTTCTGAATCACCGTGTGACCTCAATCAAGTCACTTTGCCTCTCTATGCCTCAGTTTACCCATCTGTGAAATAGGGATGATAATACTTTCTTGTCTCACAGCGGTGTTGTGAAGTTTAATAAATGTTTGCAAAGTGCTTTAGAGATCCTCCAATGACAGGGACTAGAGGAGGGAAAAGATTTATTTATTTATATTTGGGATACAAGACTGAGCCAGAAAGATTTCATGTTGATCAGTCAACCACACCAC